TTCATGGAATTACTAGAGTACAGTTTGAATAGATATATAGGAATGAAATGTTCGGGCAGGCAAAATAACCAAGCCATACAATCAAAGATCCTAAATATAACAAAACTCTTTGGTTTCTGGTTTGCTAGATAACATGATGGGGGATAAGTGTTGTTAGGTAAAACAATTAAGCACAAAAAGGATGGTCACCACTTCATGGGAACTATACATGTACATATGCTACCTTCAATATTAAAGGGAACTTATCATCACATAATGAACTTTAACTTAAAATTCCATCTATTCATTTTGCTAGCATATAGATATAGAGATATGGAGAAAAAACTATTTAAATTCTCAATTCTTCAGCAGGCACTGAATGCCGAGGAATTGAGAGAAAGGCAGAGCAGAAGAGACCTCTTACAGGAAGTTCCTCTGCTCTCCACCCAAAGCAATCACAGCGCATGCACTTAGGTTGCTCTGCTAACTCCCTAGCTGGTATTGCTAACACCGACTGGGGAGTATAGTAATGGAGTGACATCAAGACTTCAGCACACTGGCAATGAAGGTACAGTTTTAAATAAGTGAGATAGGAAGGAAGTGTTAATACAGGGATTTCTATAGTGCAGATTCCTCCTTAAATTTCTCCTGCAATTGGCACTTTTTACAAGATCAAGGCTCCAAAGAGAAAATAGAAAAACATCCAAAATAAACACTCCAACACCCCAAGCCACTGCAGCTTGTTGTAGAAGTTATTCTGCCACGAATTCCTTACCACCATCCCACAGCAAGATATCAATCCACTTTAGCACAGTTTTATCAACTTACCTGGGTCCTCCAGGCACCCACACCACATCTGATCTTCTCTAACAGGTGAAGCCAAATGCCATTTTTAGAGCAGACGGGCCTGTTGTCTTTGGCTGAGAGGCTTAGCTTAGCATGGTGGGGGATATTTATTAAACGTGTTCTGAAAAGTGGCAGTTAAATTATATCATTCATTTGACTGTATTTATTAAACTGATAGTTAAGTTCTGTCAAATTTCACAGAAATTTCTATGTCAGAAGACTGACAAATTTATAGTAGTGCAAAAACTCATGAAATTTTGTTTTCAGAAAAAGTGGTGGAAATATTCACAAATTTGTTGCATCAGCCAAAAAAAAAAAAAAAAAAAGAGGAGATTTTTATAAATTTGCAGCATGTTAGACAGAAAGGTTTTAGGAACACTTTGATAACTCTCCCCCAGTATGATCCAGTCAACTGATATGATCTCAACAAAAAGAAATTGATTTTGAAGAAAATTCTTTAACTGTCCTTGCGAGAAGGGGAGCCTGGTGTTATTGCATAAAGAGAGCAGTATATTAGAACTAGACATTGGCACCTACAAGTGCCAAATGGATTCAGCAGGGTGAACTGAAGGAATTAACAAAGCTCATTACTATTGTCATGTATACAAAAAATTGTTGTGCTGCTTTCACAAATCACGTTTACCCCATATTAAGAACTGATTAAATCGTTGAAGAAAATGTAATGGGTTTCTACTGCTGGTCCAAAAGATCAAAAAGAGGCTAATGAATGGAAAACCAAACTGTAGAGGAACTAACAAGGAGAAGATCTTTAATAGCCTTGTATGTTTACAAATGGCAACATGAACCTGTGTATCCGTGTAACCACAGTGGATACTCACCAATACCACAGTAAAAGTGAACATAAGAAATTCCAGTTACTCTGAAAATAACAATTAGTTATCTAGCAGTATGTCACCAGTAATAGTATCAAAATAGGGTGTCAAACTTTATATGAATATCTTTGTGAATGTTAAACAGGTTTGGCAGATACTTTAACATGATCCACTTCTAATGAAAGCAGTCTAGTATAGCTGACACCTTTCCATAAATATTGACTCCTACATAAATACGTTTAAAAAGGATTAATTCTTCAAATTTCTGTGAAATCTATTAACAGCCTGTGAATTGCCTACAGAAATAGAGGTTGACAATGGAATCTCACACAAGAATCAAGTGAATCTATCATATTCCTTATTATCCTCAGCCTTCATGGATGACTGAACAGTTTGATGGATTATAAAAAGAAACATTGGAAACAAACCACACGTAAGACGTGAAATGTGAGAATCCATACACGACATTATGATTTTATGAGATATGGGAAACTTTTCTCTGTTTGCATTGTACAGCAAGTATTAGAAGTAGGTTTATACTAAGCATAATTATACTTCATATAAATGCTCAACCTATCAAACCACCACATATGTTATGTCCTTAAAAACGAAACACAACAGATATATGATCTACCCTTCAATGGAACTAAAGGTCTAATGCTGAAGTGTTATTTTTTCATATACTGAACGTCCTCATAATGGAAAATAGCAATGGTCATAACAATTAAATGCATGGATAGAAAATAAGATGAAACACAAATAGGAAGCACCGGGACACAGGAGAGGTACCATCTTTTCCCAAAAATAAAACCGTGTCTTATATTTTTTATCCTTGAAAAAAAAGTCTTATTTTCAGGGGAAAACAGTAGCAAGCAAGAACATAGATTAGCTTACTCGCGAATGGAATCCTGCAAATCTATGTTCGGGGAAAATTCCCCAAAATAGATTAGCGAGCTAGCGACTAGGGCTTATTTTCGGGGTAGGACTTATTTTATGAGCATCCCCCGAAAAGAAGCTAGGGCTTATTTTCGGGGAAACAGTACCTACCTATAATTACTCTTCAGTTAGGTGGCTCTCAATGAAGATAAGTGGATGATAGAGCTCTAGAATTCAGCCACACTGGTCTAGAATGTTTGAAAATGGTGTAACCATTAGACATGTGCACTTCGTTTCGAATGTACATTCGGACAAATTTTGTGCAATTCAGATGCTTTTGAATGTCCGAAGTCCGAATTGCCAAAGTTCCAAATTGCCAAAGTTCTGAAGTGGGTTAGGGGTGGGGTTTAGAGTTTGGGCCTGAATTACCGAATTTCCCAACCGAATCGAATGCCATTGATCCGAATTGCCTAAGCAGACACATTTTTTTACTTACCTGAATTTCCGAACCGAACCCAATTTTTTTGCCCATGCACATCCCTAGTAACCATACAGTATTACACACACACAAGCAATGGTGCAATCACATCATATACCCAAACTAATATGTTAAGCCCTGTCTGCCATTCACTAAAGGTACATGCATCACTTTGCGGCAACTAGGAATGCTGAAAATGTGCATTCGGCATGCTTGGCAGATTTACACATGTGAATTTCGATCTCTTCACCTTGCAACATCCTCAGATGGGGAGTAGAGAGGTAGTCTTTTCAGTGTTAACATATACAGAGCAGGCTCGAGTGCCAGGGTTTTCTCTCCTGCATGAAGATGCCCTGTTTCTGTCATCTGAAACTGAGCTGGATGGGCATGGGGTGGCTCTTTTGACTTTGGAATTATAGTGAATAGGCTTGCCATTGAATAGATACATTAAGTTGAGATCTTTATTGCAGTATATATGGTTTTTAATATAAAAAGTACAGATAATGATCATTTGAAATTTGAGTTTATCAATGAACCTCAAAAGCACCTCATTTACTTTTAGAGATAGAATTACATGAGCATAAGACAGGAAAATTCCATACTACCTGTATACAAATAAATGTAGTAAACATAGACTGTAAGCTCGTTTGAACAGGGCCCTCTTCAACCTATTGTTCCTGTAAGTTTTTGTAATTGTCTACTTTATTGTTAAATCTCCCCCTTTGATAACATTGTAAAGCTCTACGGAATATGCTGGCGCTATATAAATACCAGTAATAATGATAATTTAAGTATTTATTTCTTAAGTGTGTCGTGTAGGGTCACATCACTACACATTTGCCTGACTTGTGTTTTTTCTGATTAAAAATAAAATGTTAAACAATAGGTATGTGCCTTTTTATTCCATTTCCTGTTTAAATTAAAGAATACCAAACATGGTAATTGTAGTCAGTGATGGCAGCATCATTTGATGGTTTTATTTGTGAAGCCTTTAAAATGAAGTGAGCTTACCTACATTGGAAACAATGATAGATCACAAGCTAGGCAATAGTATGCAATGCTGGTCTGCTGTTGCAAAAGCTAGTAAGGTGCTTTCGTGTAAGGGGTTTCGATTTACATGATCAAAATATTATTTTGCCTCTTTACAAATCAATGGTAACACCCCACCTTAAATAGGCGGTACAATTTTGGGCACCAGTTTTAAAGAAGGATAGTGCAGAACATGAGAAAGTGCAGAGGCGAGCATCAAAATTAGTAAGGAGGATGAGAAACATTAGTAATGAGGAAAGGCAAGAGAAATAGGATTTGTTTTCTTTAGGAAAAAGGTGCCTTAGAGGGGGTATAATAACACTATACAAATATATACAAGATCAGGACCAATTACTATGTGCTAACCTGTTCATTAGCACGAATATACAACAGACAAGAGGTCACCAATTGTGATGGAAAGAACAGCATATTCGCTTACAGCAGAGGAAAAGTTTTCTTTACAGTAAGGACAATAAAGATGAGGACATTTCTTCCTAAAGAGGTTGCCTTATCAGGTTCTATAGATAATTTTAAAAAGGCTTGGATACTTTTTTTTGCATAAACAGAATATTCAAGAATATAATTGATATGTATGTAAACAGGTTGTTGATCCAAGTAGAAATCTGCAGATTATGGAGTCAAGAAGGATATCCCCCCCCCCTTTTTGTGCCATAGCAAGAAATAACTGAAACAGTTTTTTTTTGTTTTTGCCCTCTTTTGTATCAACAATGGGCTTCAGGTTTTAACTTGATGGATTTTAGACTTTTTTTTTTATTTTATTTTTAAACCAAGACTATGTAACATTGAAAATGTTTTGTAGATAGCAGATATATAGAACACAAAATAGGATAGCATCGCCCAGAAAACAGTGTAATTGTACAAAATAGGATAGCATCGCCCAGAAAACAGTGTAGTCATAATTACGGTAACAAGAAACTGAAATCGCCTTGGTATTTTTCACAGTCCAGACTTTATTAACAAAATGACAATGAATATATATTTTAAATATAACAAACAGCAATAAAAATACATACTATGTATGACAATAAATTTAGCAGTTTCTTAACTTTAAATAGTTAGATATTCTTCAGTTAAATTTGGCTGTGCAATGGTCATTGGAGTCATTTAGAAATATTACATCAGTGTATCAGTGTTTATATGGCAGTACTCTATTGGGTTTACTGCAATTATAAATGTTTACCCTAAGAAAGACAGCTGAGAAGATTAACTGTGCATATAACGTTCAAGGCAAATCTGATGCACGGTGGTCTTTGTTTCCATTGAAGCACAATGGATCTTTGGCTAGATATGCTTACCAGTGATGTGTCAAATACCAGTTCATGGAACGTTAAATGTACTATAGCTTAAAAGGTACACTCTAGGTCCCGATTGTTAAAAGCATTTTATAGTTAAATAATGAAAAATGTGCAATAAAATGAAAGCTACTTTTTCATTTTTTATAGGCAAGCTGCAGTAACAAACAGCCTTTCGTAGACCAAGAAGGCACTCGACCAAACAGCAGTTTCTTGATGTAGCCTACGAAGTCTAAGCTTACCCCTTAAATCACTGTCCAGCAGGAGTTTATAGGATATGTAGTTCAACACTTGGCAGTAGTTGTTTTAATTACATAGGATGAGGGGAACAGCTAATAATTAGACTTGTGCACAAGTCCTTTTCATCTGCAATGGATGAAACAAAAAAAGTATTTATTTTTTTTCCCATTGTAAAGCGATGCGGAATTTGATGGCGCTATATAAATAATAAATAATAATAGCAAGTTCCTGTTAATCTACGACTGAACAAATCGATTCCACATGTACATCGGCATAGATTAACAGAAATTTGATTTGTTCATCATAGGGGAAAGGATTTGTGCACCAATCTACTAATTGTTTTGCAAATGGGACTGTGCATTTTGGCCATTGACTGTGCTTGTACACAGTTGGTGGACTGACGCCCCAGTACAAAATATTTGGATGAAAAAGTAGGACATGTAAACCGAAGGCCAAAAAAGGCAGTATTACAGCTGCAGGTATAAGCAACTGTGAACTGGTATGTGGGGACAGACGGACATCTTTGCACATTAACCTACATTATGAACATAGGTTTTTATGTTGTTTTAAGTGTCCCTTTTAACAAGATTCAAATGATATAGATATATATCTCATATAATATATATGCACGCTCACACACAAATACATCTAAAAGCACACAAAAATGTTAAGGGATGAAGGCAGCAAAATGTATTTTTTCTGTCTGACAAATCTATAATGGAAAAAGTCACATGTGCCTTAACACATCTCATACAGACATAACAAGCAAACTTGTAATTACTTCTTCAAAAGGGCTATACGAGTGCTTTTTGGGTAAAATACACATCGACAGGCTTTAATATTTGAAGTTTTCAGAAAAATAAAACCTATATTGATAAGGTTCTCTGGCAACGTGATTTTTTATTTTTTTTATTTTAAAACATAGAGCTCCTAAAACTAACACATTACATTGCAAAGAACTATTTTGTTTGCCTGTATGCCTGTTTAACCCCTTAAGGACCAAACTTCTGGAATAAAAGGGAATCATGACATGTCACACATGTCATGTGTCCTTAAGGGGTTAAAACAATAAAAATTACAACCATTGTATGCCATTAACTATATTAATATTTTTTTTTTTCAAAAAGCATGAGACAACAACATAACTTTGTTAAATAAGACAAAAGAGGAGAATGGCTGACAAATGTGAAGTACACAAACAAGCAACACATCATACTCTAGAATGTAAGCTCACTGAGCAGGGCCCTCCACCTCTCTGTTCCTGTACGTCCAGTTGTCTGTTTACAATTACATGTCTGTTAGTCCACCCATTGTACAGCGCTACGGAATCTGATGGCGCTATATAAATAATAAAATAATAAAAATATTAAATATGCAAAACATTACAGACATACTTCAAACAGCAGAAAATGATTCCGCATACAAACAGTTAAAAGGAGGAGAAACATTGTAGTTAAATGCTTGTTGATCAAATGCAGACTGCAAGTTTATATTGGAATAGTGCCATATTTTTTTGGAATAGTGCCATAATTGCCCTTTCAACCTAAAATCGAACCATAGCTATAGTTAGTATTTAATGTTTTTAAGGGTCCAGAGGTGAAACGGATAGCTTATTGTACTTTATGTACTTCATAATGAGAAATCAGTAAATTTAAACGCTCTCTTAATATCACTTTAATACTGCTAAGGAACAAACTGAAATATAGAGACAAAACAATCCTACTGAATTATTGGAATAATCAAAGAAAGTTCTTGATTAGGCAAAGGATCATGTAATTGAGATTGTAGAAAAATGTATGCAGGACATTGCCAGGGTTTTTCCATTAAAATGAGAATTGTCAGGGAGTGAATTATAAATTTAAGGTCAAAATAGACAATCTCCAAGTCAGGCTCTGCCTCACCACCTCCTCCGTTGACGTGGGGATCTAATGCGCATGCACGGCAAGTGTTACGCTTGCGTTAGGACTTTCCATATAATGCTTTCCTATGGGGTTTTGGGTGACGCTGGATGTTCTCAAGCAGAGTATGAGGATGTCCAGCATCAGTTAGGCAAAACAACCCGGAAGTCCCTCTAGCAACTGTCTAGTAGTTCACCCTTCAAAGTACTTATTGCACTTTATTAAAAACTGCAATTATTACCTTTTCAGTGTTAAGGGATCTGGGACTATGCACCAAGACCACTTCAATGAGCGGAAGTTGTTTGGGTGCCTATAGTGTGCCTTTAATGCTCACACAGGGACATAACCATACAACTTTGTTATTTTTTTCGTCTTCTTCTATACACTTCTATCAATGGGAGAATTGAGAAATGTAAAATTTATTTTTCTTGTGGTCCTTATTTTGAAACATAAGGAATGTAAGTTTTAAATCAATCAATTTACAAAACAAAATCTCTGCTTCAATTGAAATTTAGCATGCAAAATCTCTTCAAACAAAACCTCACAAAAGCTCTGAAGAGAAATTAAACAACAATCTACTAGCTTAAGAAACTTATAATTTATTCAAATAATTAAAGGGGTATTGTAAGCGCCACATATTCCTTGTAAAGGTTATAGTGCATCGAGGTCCACTGAATTCATTAAACTATAGCTTGCACAAGCACTTGTAGAAAAGCACATGCCATACAAGTGCCTATTTTTGTAAATATTTTCTGCAGAGGAGTTGTTTTTCTGTATTATTTTCAAAGTATTATATATATATTGCATAAGCAATAGGTTTCCGCTAAATCCTGGAATTGCCCTTTAATTTAACCCCTTAAGGACACATGACATGTGTGACATGTCATGATACCCTTTTATTCCAGAAGTTTGGTCCTTAAGGGGTTAAAGCAGCGCTGTCACCCCTCCTTAAAAATAAGTATTTCAGATGAGATATACTGAGACAAAGTAGGGACTATTTCTGGAGTCTTCATAATCCATGGAACCAAAGTTCAAGTGATGTTTTTAATCATCCCATCACATACATGAAACATTTTTTAAAAGGAACTGGTTTACATTATTTTTCTTTTCTACAAGTATAGAGGGTGTTACATCTGAGTGTTTTCATTTGTATTAAAGGACCACTATAGGCACCCAGACCACTTCAGCTTAATGAAGTGGTCTGGGTGCCAGGTCCATCTAGGATTAACCCTTTCTGCTGTAAACATAGTAGTTTCAGAGAAACTGCTATGTTTACCTATGGGTTAATCCAGCCTCTAGTGGCTGTCTCATTGACATCCGCTAGAGGCGCTTCCGCGCTTCTCACTGAGATTTTCACAGTGAGAAGACGCCAGCGTCCATAGGAAAGCATTGTGAATGGTTTCCTATGGACTGGCTGAATGCGCACGAGGCTCATGCCGCGCATGCGCATTCAGCCGATGACGAGGAATGGAGGCGGAGAGTCCCCACCGGTGGAGAAAATGTATGTGTTTAACCCCTTCCTCACCCTAGAGCCCAGCGGGAGGGGGACCCTAAGGGTGGGGGGGACCTAGAGACCCTATAGTGCCACGAAAATGAGTATGTTTTCCTGGCACTATAGTGGTCCTTTAATAAATTGAGGGAGATTTATCAATGTGTTCTGTTAAAAAAAGTCATCTAATGTACTAAAATTGGGGCAATTACAACCAGCAATTAGTGGAACCAGCAGGGACATTCCATTTTTGACACCACTCTTTTTACAGTTTTACACACTTTTTAGAACAGAACACTGATAAATCTCCTCCAAAAATCCACTTTCCTGAATATTACACCATTGAATAAAACATTGACAACCACCTATAACTTGTGGTAATCTTTTTTCCATAAAATGCTCTGGTTTCTTTTGAGAAAAAAAAAAAAAAAAGGTTTAGCAAATGACATCATAATCCAGGGCAAACATTGCAAATAAATCTGAGAAATAGAAACATTGTTTTATTTCTCCTCTTTTTGTAAATTTTCTCTAGGCTGACAACTGCCAGGTGCAAAGGGCAGAGCTTATAACAATGATTGGCAGGGAGCTAACTTGCAACCATATTTAATTAAAGGGACACTATAGTCACCCAAACCACTTCAACTCAATGAAGTGGTCTGGGTGCCAGGTCCCCCAGGTATTAACCCTTCAGATGTAAACATAGCAGTTTCAGAGAAACTGCTATGTTTACATTTGGGGTTAATCCAGCCTCTAGTGTCTGTCTTCCTGACAGCCGCTAGAGGCACTTCTGCGACGCTGGATGCGAAATTCGCATCCAGCGTGCAGAACGTCCATAGGAAAGCATTGAAAAATGCTTTCCTATGGACTGTTTAAATGCGCGTGCGGCTCTTGGAGCTGACGTCGGCGGGGGAGGCGAGGTCACCAGCACCAAGGGAGCCCAACGCTGGATTAATGTAAGTAACTGAAGGGGTTTTAACTGGGGGGGTCCTATGGATGCTATAGTGTCAGGAAAATGAGTTTGTTTTCCTGGCACTATAGTGATCCTTTAAAACTCCACATTTAATTTGTTTTTGTGCAGATCACAAATGCACATTTGCTAAATATAGGTATAAGAAAATAATATTACAAATACTAGGAAGTGACAGTTCCTCTTTAATGCTTCGTTATATTTATATAACCAAAAGTATTACTTTGCACTGTTGTGCTAATAGGTGTAAAGTCCATATAAAACAACAGGTGTGTTCATGCAGTTCTAGGACTAACCAACTGCTTTATTATAAACTGTGAAGACAAATTAATTAACTCATACATTACTACAGGGAATGGAAACTGTAAGGATGCAAATAAATACAGTTATCATACACATTACGGGCAAGCAGTAATATGTGAGGCCACTGCTCCTCGACTTATAGCAGTCAATTCACTTGGGTGGTGGTTTCCAAACCAGTCCACATGAGACACATATGGTCCAGTTTGTGTTAGTAACCCCAGTGGAGCAGACATGGCAAACAGCCCTGAATTGTTGGTGTTACTAAATGAGTTGGGGACCACTACAATTAGTCCGAGATTTGCTCAAACTGGACTGAAGATAATTCTAAGATTTTTATTCAATTTCCAAAGTGAAACCTGACTAGTGAATTCACAAAACACTTAATAAAAACATGATGCACGTGCACATAAGTTGTGCCCAACAGACATTTAAGAGATATATAGCCCCAGCCACAGTCCCACACATCAGAACTGCTCAGTTCAGGCTCTCTAAATAGAAAGATATGGTAGAGATGTCCAGCCAGTGTGCACATGCCTCATGCACAAATTGACGTGTGGTTGGACAGCAAAGAAGAAAATAAATACATTTCCTCCTATGATGTAAGTGCAGGGAGCATTAATTAGTCAGTTATAAGCCAAATAATGTTAGGCATCTAAATTAAGTTGGTGTGAAGGCTTCTGGTGCTAGGAGTCCCCTTGGAGAAATAGTACATTCTAGGGTTAAATCAATTTAAAACAGTTTAACTCCAAAGTAGCCTCCGGTGCTGGTGTCAGCCCCCTCAGCAACATACCTTTTCAAAGCCAGTGTAGTGACTGGGGAGTCACTTATTGGCTGAGAGCGTCAGCTGACTACTAGTAGCCGAGCCCCTGTAAGTGAAATTACAGTAGCCAAAAACTGCCGGGGTTGGAGCGGAGTTGGAGATTTTTCTTCTAAATATTATTAGCCTTAATTTCCCCGTTCAATGTTCATTTTCTAAAATCAGGAATTAAGTGAATAACCCTGTTAGTGAGGTAAGTAAACGTGTCATATTTAGAAGTAATATCTATCTATGAAAATAAATTTTAACAACAGAATAGTCCACTCAGAAATTCTTTCATGATATCATGACACTGATTGTAACAATCAGTACAGAAGCAAACATTATGTTTACACAATTTATAGATTCTTTCACAATATTCACTGTGTCAATTGTTGGGAATTCAAAGCGAGTTCAAATTGAATTTAAAAATAAAGGCCAAAACAGATCATTTTCATTTGCTATTCCAGCCTAGAATTAGAAATTTCCTATAAAATCAGTTTAAATTCCTGATAATTTTGTCAATAACCCTATAAGTGTGCACTGTTAACTGTTTAAAGATTTTGGGATCTGTTCGCTAAACAGTAAATCATGACAAGATGACAATGGGAATTCCAAAACAATACTTCAGAAGCAACATGCTACACAGACCATTGTGTTTATTTTAACAAGTTATCTCACCACAAATTTTATATTGGATCCATTGAAGCTATAACAATCTACCTCTATATTACCCATGTGATATTACATCAAATATCCAGCTGCAGAAGTTGTTTAGTCAAATTTACCATTTGAAAACATCTCACTTTTTATTAAAACTGTTCTTAAAGAGAAAAGATAAACAACTAAAAAAAATAACTAACATAAAATGAGCAAGTGACAAGAGATTCCACTTTTCAACGTCACAATAATCTGATTTAGTACCTCGTTTTTTTTTGTTTTTGTTTTTTAAACAAAGAAAACAAAACAACATTTCTTTCTGGGTATAAGCTTCTTTTTGCTTTTACAACAACTTCCATAATTCACTATCACAACAGTAATTACAGTTTAACATTACTTTACAGTAAACTTGAATACTTCTTGTTCCACAATGTTTGTTACTACAGAAAAAGCGTGAGGTCTAGATTACAAGCTGAGTGCTTCTCAACTTTAATACAACACAACACAAGGGCCAAAAAAAAAGAGTCTGGTATTACAACTTCATTAAAATATAACTTTGACTCATCATTTTCAAAAAGACACATTACACATAACCGTAAGTGAGCTGGTATGGGATTTACGCCGATCACTGCAACTGAACTTATATCTGTAGTAATATCTACAATAAACAGCATCAAAAGATAAAAAACAAACCCCAATCCCACTGCGAAAAAACAAACCTGCAAGGGGAAAAAAAGCATAAATTCCCTTTTTGCTTCAATTCTTAAATATAGCAAGGTTGTCATAGTAAAACAAATTCTTAACAGACAATTCTAACATCTGGTAACCCCTTAAGGACCGAATAAATGATACAATGTGGTCTCTAAAGTCCGTTTGCCAAAATGGGATGTCCTCCTGATTCATGGTAGCTCTTTACAGTTCTTAAATGAGTGGATCATTCCATTCTGGAGTTGGATTGTTAAAGAACTGATTGCTATGATGTTATAAACTACGATTGGCTCTTAAGAGGTTAAAAAAAAAACAAACCTACTCATCTCTGAAAGTTTTCACTTAGCGTGTTCTGTGGCGACAGTAACCACAGCAATGTGACTGTCTTAATTGTAAAATCATCATCACGCTAGTTCAAAAACTTAGAAGAAAACTAATGAAGGAAAAAATGTAAGCCCTTAGCTTTTCATTTATCAAAGTGCTGATTTGTAATTTCAACTTCACAAATAGCACACCCAGCTGGAATGTACAGTAAGAGAATGAGACGGAGTGGAAGCTGTGGTACACTGTGCTTCCCTTTTAAACATGCCTCATCTAAACTGTTTTGTTTTTTTCTTAATTTCTTTTTTTTTTTTTATAAAAAATATAACTTTTACTTGACATCCCAAAAAAATCTTCAAGTCTCAATAAATAAATAAAATACCAATGCCCATAGTGTGAATGGAAAATAAAGGAAAAGAAATTAAGAAATTCACACATCTTGAAACTGAAACCCATTTCTGCAGATTTTTTTTTTACGTGAAATATTCTTTATTTTCACTTCCCATTTAAAGACCATTTCCACTCATTCTCTGGGCAATCGCAAATGTCTGCATTGCAAATGAATACAATGTGCAGTTACTAGCTTTACAACTATTTATCAAATTCTAGCAAAAATACAATTAAGTTTATATTTAGAAAATAAATATATACCATAAAAACAATCTGTCAAATATCAACCATCTTTGTTTACATGTGATGGAGGTAACCAGGCAACATGTCTGCATTGTACTTTTTTCTTTTTTTTTAAGAAGCATTGGATTGTTCTGTAATGTGAGGTGATCTGAGTCAGTGATGGGTACCATTAGCATCCGGGTGTTTATGAACTATGTTTCCCATGATCCTTACACAGCCTTCAAGGTTAATGTCGTTTTGAAACATCTGGGCTGCTGCACTAGCACTTCAAAATGTGATACATATCAATTGCTTGGTCACCTCTGCATGTAAATGTTCCAATTTCTAAAGTAAAACTTTACATTTGTACACACAATCTTTTGATAAAGCTTATCTGCGCAAGATATTTTGTAGTCAGACCCTGACTTAAAACCATTATACCCACAATTTAGCCATAAAATCATTTCTTTAGATGTGGTCTTTATTTTTCCTTAAATAACATTTTAAATAATTTGCGTAGCAAGGTACACATAACTAAGTTGTACAAAAATACATCTAAAACTTAGTGCAATGTCAAGAAATCTCAAGACACATAATACTCAACGTCTAGCTTCAGACTGAGTATAATAAATAAAACTAGAATCTCGGTCAAAGCACTTAATAGTAACTCATTGTTATATCAACCAATATACTGTGCCTAAAACTCGAATTTGTGATGGCATCCATGTTGCATTTATCACAAGTCTAAATGGCCCAATTTTCAACCATTAGTTAACTTAAGTGCATTTAAAAAAAACCCCACAATTTCTCAGTAATACGCAAATATAACTTTCCATTTAATTCTATAGAGGTCTGTCTACTAATGTCATTTATATACAAAATTCTTTTATAAAACATTTCGACTTTATCAAGATTAATTTTAAGGGCACACATCTGCTGAGTTGATGTGATAAATCTAGGCCAAAGTAACATCTGCCATTTTGGTGTAAGCTTTCACTGTTTAGTGAATAAGCCCATAAACTGTTAACTTGACGCGACTCTGAATAAGTCCCCCAAGTCTGCTTACACAATGACCCAATCTGTTCCTAATACAAAGTAATAAAAAAGTGTACTACATAAAACCAGCTGCAATATAGACCCTTAATTGTACCATATCACATAAACTTCATCTCGGTAGGTACGATATTATAAAGAGTTTATTGTAGTTATCATTGAACTTTGTTTTGTGAATACATTTTATAAATCCATGTAGTTGCCATAAAATAAAATTGCAACACTGGATGTTCTTTTATGTCGGTCTCAGTTTTATCAATGTACATGGTAGTAAAACATTAAAAGTAATCGACAGCCTCTCTTTAATTATAACTATATATAACTATAATTTAACAACCAAAAATATCATTTTGCCAGTGCTCCTTTTAAGTTTCAGTGGGATTTTGCAAAGACAATAATCAGTAGACAGACCCGAACAGAATTTAGTAATACCATCACCAATTTGCTGGCATTAAACATAATATAGGTTTCCAGTATTTTAGTTAATTTTGTTGCAACAAATTCATGTTTCTATGCAATCAAATCAGATTTGGGAGGATAAGCTATTCTTCCTGTTTTTATGAAGGTTTCAAAAATAAACACAAGAATAAAATTAGTTATTTAGTGAAGTGTTCCTTTTAAACAGGCAGACACACATAATCCAAAATGCCTGCTTTGCTAAATAAGGTCACTCTGAACTTATATATAATGTTGTTGGCACAGGACAGTATAATAAAATATTTTGCATACGTTATGCTCCTATTTACATCTCATATAATCTCTTCCAGTAACACACCCAGGCTTAGAACAATAAGATTAAATATTGTTCTGTAACAACATCAGGAAATTCAATCTTTTCACTAGCCACAATAATAGACATAGGTCCCTTGCATTTTTGAATACAAGGTTGGGTTCCCAAACTGGTCCAACAAGTTGTAAAATAAAAAAGTCTGGGTGGGGTTGGCTAGCTTCATTTTTAAAAGCTATTTTGTCACTCCATGGTCCTCTTGGTAAATAATTGTGTTGATCTTTCAGGCATTTTGTTTGCTCTAGCACATCTTCAGTATATAGCCACCTTTATTTTTTTTTCTCCAGAAACCAACAGTAGAAAAAGAAAACATGCCCTGCTCAGTGAGTATCACAATCTCTTCTTTCAGATAAGAAGGTAGCAGTCCAGGCCCAAGCCTTGTTTCTCAGACACATACACTTGTTCAGTGTAAGCCTCCCACTCACTCATTGGCTTCTCGATCTCCTTCACTGTTGCAGCTTCAGAAGCTTACATGTTCCTCCAGTTCCCTCCCCCCCCCTCAAACCATTAGGTTTGCTTAAATATTATTTTTTTTTAAATGTTAACATTCATGCCCGACATAAAGTTTGCACTTCAGACCCTTCTTCTACTACAGTGGATCACCCATTTGTGACTGTTTCAGTCTCAGTGACTCTAATACTGATACCCAGTTAGCTTTGTCTTGCTGTGGAGGCCTCTCAGCAGCTGGAACTGTCCCCGGCCTTGCCCCCAACAGGGCTGCTCTTGGCCACAGTAATCTGACAGCCATTGGTGACGTGGCTCAAGACCTTGTGCTTGAGTTGGGAAACTTGCTCCCTTAGCAGGCTGGCAGTGGATGCCAGATCTGAGTTCTGGGACTTAAGCACCTTGACCTTCTCCTCTAGGCGGGCGATGCGCTCCAGCTTCCTCTTGCGACACTTGGAGGCGGCAATGCGGTTCCTCAGCCTCTTCCTCTCAGCCTTAATCCGTTCCTGAGTCTCTAGGTCGATTGGCGACAGAGACGGCTGGGAGCCTGAGTCCCCTGCACTACTCCCTGCAGTAGTCCCACCACCTTGGGCACCACCTTGTGAAACATCAGGAACTGTCTGCGGCTCATCCAGGGGCCCCCTTACAGTGTGCAGACGGGGAAGCCCTGGGAAATGGAGCAGCACAGTCCCAGCTGAGCTCCCTGCTGCAGTGTATGGTGCCTGGGTGGCTTGCTGGAGTGGGGGGCTGTGCTGGGAACTGGCTGGGTTGAAGCTGCTCAAGTTGGTGTAGACGGGAACCTCCCCGGCTGGAAGCAGGGAGTGCGCTGGGTAGGATGTTGGGGAGCCCGCAGCTAGGGCAGTAGGTGACAGTGGGGCCCCCAGGAGCTGGTTCTGCTTGTGGAGGTCGGCCAGGGCCTTGACAAAGCCGTCAGCGAAGCCTTCCTGCTCCTGTGTGATCATCTGCTGGTTGCGGTACAGGAAGGGATGGGGGCCACCGGGGACAGGAGGTACTGGGGTGCCCTGGGGTTGAGGAAGTGGAGCAGGGCTGGGGGCACTGCTACTGCTGGAGGCGGCTGAGAGCCCTGGGCTGGCTGCCTGGATAAGTAAATGCTCCAGCTCAGGAGGGGACAGTTTCAGCAGATTCAGGGCAGCTGTGGAGGAAGCGTTAGGCAGGAGAGACAGATCAGAACTGGAGGAGCTACCACCAGAACTGCCTGCCCCACCACTGCTAACGCTTCCCCCAGTCACAACGACTCCTGCGTCTACCACAGCTGGCACAGCTGATGTATGGGTATTCCCCACCGACACTTCCCGGGCAGCTCCAGTGGGGTCTGTGATGGTAGGGCCCCCATTTCCTACCTGCAGCAGCTTGAGAGTGTCACCACCACGTGTGATCACCTCGGAGAAGCCAGCAGGGAGCACAGGTAGAGGCACAGAGGCTGCAGCTATATTCTTCTTCTTTAGGCCAGTGCTTTGGAGAATAATGTTGACGCTCATCAGTTTGGTGTCAGGGGGGTATCTGACCACAGGCTCCCCCACAGAGGTACGGAGAGCTCCTGGCGTCCCTTCCGGAGAGCCAGCACTGTATGCTGCGATCTGACTAAAATCCTGGAGGTTGAGGGTTTCCTCATGGTAAAAGGGAGGTTCCATCTTCACATGGTCAGTAGTGGTGCTGGTCATCATCCTGCTTTCACCTTATACACAATAGTACAGGGTAAATGTATGACGAGTCCTCAGTCTCTGTATAGACTCTGTAACGATCTTTCAGCAGTGAATATTGTCCCTATCCGGTGTATGGAACGGCAAGTAGAGCACCATACAATACAGTGTGCAATTGGATTGTCCTGGCTCCTGATTTTGTCCTTACCCGAGCAGAACTAGGAAAGAGAAACAGAAACCATGTTACCAGTAATGTACACCATGCAGGCTGTAGTCAGCAAAAATAACCTACTGTGCACAAGCAGTCAGGCAGGATACTAGGGAAACATTTAAAGGGACACTATAGTGTTAGGAATACAAGACTGTATTACTAACACTATAGTGTCCCTTTGTTTCCCTTAAAACCATTTAAACACGTAGCCGATTCCAGCACCAAAGTCCCTCATGAGGACGTCCAGCGTCGTTTCACCTTCTTAAATTCTGTGAAACAGCAGGAAATTGCCTCTAGTGGCTGTATGGCCACCTGCAAAATAAACATTGCTGTTTCTCTGAATTAGCAATGTTTTAGATTGCAGGGTTAAAGTGACACTATAGTCACCAGAACAACTACAGCTTATTGAATTTGTTCTGGTGAGTAGAATCATTACCTTCAGGCTTTTTGCTGTAAACACTGTATTTTTTCAGTGAAAATGCAGTGTTTACATTACATCCTAGTGATAACTTCACTGGCTAATCCTGAGATGGCTGTTAGAGATCCTTCTTGGGACATCGCTGCCTAAAATGCATCCAAACATTCAGTGTCTCCCCCCCTCTGAATGCAGACACTGAACTTTCCTCATAGAGATTCACTGATTCAATTAATCTCTATGAGGAGATGCTGATTGGCCAGGGCTGTGTTTGAATTGTGCTGGCTCTGCCCCTGATCTGCCTCTTTGTCAGTCTCAGCCAATCCTATGGGGAAGCAGTGTGATTGGATCAGGCCACCACTTCTGATTGTCAAAGGCCCTAAGGGGTCGTAACGTTGCTTTCTGGTTCTTGGGTCCAATAAAACTGCCTTGTTTCCAGCACAGCACCCAGGATTCCATGACGTTGGGTTGAGTGCACTTCCACTACCTACATGTCACCACTTCTGATGATGTCAGAGGAAGTTCACAGGCAGAGGCAGCAGCTTCAGACTTGAATACAAGTATGATTTTACTATCTTTAGGGAGACAAAGGGGGAAAGGGGGATAGATAGTGGTTTTAACACTATAGGGTCAGGAATACATGTTTGTGTTCCTGACCCTATAGTGCTCCTTTAAATGGACAGGGATACTGCACCCAGACCACCTCAATGAGGTGAAGTGGGCGGGGAGCCTATAGGGTCCTTTTAACTCAGCATGCGGGGATACAAGAGTGGCAATAACATTATATACATACAAAATAATCTGGGGGGACAAGTAACAGTGCCTCCCTACCAATATAGTAAAAACAAAAGGGAACTGGGGGCACACCCGGAACATGCATCTTGCAGGAATAATGCTGACGTAGTGACCAACATTTTTACGTAATACACATTAAGGAGGTTTTGGATAGTAATGTCACTTCAATTATAATTTTCATTGAGCAAATATTTAATTTCCATTGTGAGTATAACGATAAAAGCACTATCACTTTAATTCTTTAGCTTTAACACTGAATTTTATTAATTGCATTTATCACATTAATTTTGTATTACATTTATTCACAATGCTCTTACAAACATATTATTTAAATATACTTCATATTTTTTAGTACCAGCACTATTTGATTTAACTCCTATGTTGTAGTTAGTTTAGGACCCACCGATTTTGGGGTACTGTGAAGTAGCAGTTTGCATAACACAGTATGGCAATATGGAATCCCCATATTTGTTTGCCAAGATGAGTGATTTTAAGTAGCCTTATAGAATTTAGAAATGTAATTTATGAGTGCGCGGTTCCTTAATCTCCCGAGTCCCCACCAATACAGACATACATCCATCTAACTACATGGTTTTATAAAGGCATAAATGTACACACTATAATGGTCCTTGAACACTCTGGTATTTATAAAACTTTTAAAAATTTAGGACAAAATTAATGAACTGGAAAAAAACTTGTACTATTTCAGCTCTACTCTGCCTAAAATTTTTGATCCCCTTGTCAATTCTTCTACAATAACAATTTCCTGTTTAATAAAAGAATCCTGCATTTCTACTTGCATATATATTAGCAGCATTCATGCAGGCTTGCATCAAAATGCATGAAGGTTATAAATGTTGAATGTGAGCACATGGCAGCGCAAGGGTCTATCTTTGTGCAGTGCATGTCCATCAGTGGAAATACATTATGCTATCCATTATTCCAGTTGTTCCGTCTCTGCTATAGACTCTCTTCCACACACCACTTTGACGAGCTTATTTTGACACTGGCATCTTATCCATCAATCCATCCTAACCACAGCTGTGCTGTTCTTCCTTTTGTTTGTCTTTGCCCCTTGCTCATAGATGGTGAGCTCGTTAGAGTCATGACTTTTTCACTTCTTGTTCTCAGATATCCCCATTCTATAATTGTAAAGCGCCAACAAATAATAATAATAATAATAAATAAAAAAAAATAACCACCAAAAAATAATTATTATTTGACACAGGCAATGTGTGCTTGAAGGGGTGTATGTATTGGTTCTCCAGCTATTTTAATATTGAACAGTGGTGGATATGGGTACTGGGAGTTACTACATACGAAGAGCAATTGGCAGTGGGGATAGAATGTAGCCTGATCCGTGCACTGTCTTTGTATAGTTTACTGTGAGATTTCTGGATGGGGTGGGATGGGCAGGGAAGTGGTGGGAGTTCCAATAAAGTGGTTAGTTTGGCTCATGTAGGATGAGAATGAGAATGGGATTAGTGACTTTGTGAGTGAGGAAGTAGAATAATAGTGGTAGTTTGAGTAGAGTCGGCTGGCACAGCATAGTGAGAGCTGTGGTAGGCTGGAGTAAGAAAGATGGCTGTGACTGTATTAGAAGTTGGGGACAGAGTGGGCTGGGGAATATTAGTGTGCTATGGTAGAGTGGGCAAGGGCAGGATTTTGGGAGTTTTGGCAGAATATGAGAGATGAGCTTTAGTGAGTTGGGGGCAGGATAATGAGAGTTGAGGTAGAGTGGGCTGGGGAAGGATAGTGGGAGTTATGGTAAGATAGTGAGAAATAGAGTTAGAGTGGGCTGGAGCAGGATAGTGAGTTGGGGTAGAGGGGCTAGGACAGTATTTTGGGAGTTAAAGTAAAGTGGGTTAGGGCAGGATAGTGGGAGTTGGTGCGGAGTAGGCTGTGGTAGGATAGTAGGAGTTAGAAGTAGAGTGGCTGAGGAAGAATAGCCTGATTTGGGACATGACTATGGGAGTTATGGTAGAATGGTCTAAAATGTGATAGTGGGATTTGTAGTAGGCTGGTGCAGGATAGTGGGAGCTGATGTAAAGTGAAAATTGGGATAGAGTGGGTTGGGGCAGTGTAGTTAGAGTTGGACTGGATAGTTGGAGCAGGATAGTGAGAGTTGGAGTGAACAGTTGGGGCAGGATAGTGAGAGTTGAAATTGATAGTTGGGGCAGGGTAGTGGGCTCTGAGGTATAGTGGTCTGGTGCAAATTAGTAGCAGATGGGGTAGTTGGGCTGGGGCAGAATAGTGGGAGATGGAGTACAGTGGGCTGGGCAGAATAGTAGGAGTTTCTGTCTACTCCACAATTAGCCCCTCACCCACAGTTGCTGCCTTCCCAAATCCCTCAACAACCAACCCTATTAGCATGGCCGAGCTCTGAAGGATTCTTACCTTCCTTGTCTCTCCTCCTGCAAGCCATCACAGCAGCATCAGCATGTGTGGAGGGGCGGGGACATGGCATTTCAGGCAATCCCTGCTCTCTCTCTCGCACAGTGTACTGCCTCCTGCTGTGTGTGTATGTGTGTGTGGCTGGCTGCAGGAGAGAGACGGACAGCACGGAGGCTGCAGGGTCCTGTCTTCCCTCTTTTTAAGTTTCGGAAAACCTAAGAATCTGCGTAATTGAGGGGATCTGCACACTCTTGATCTCCCCATACAATTAACTGAATGGATGGATGGGTATTGCCCCCCCACCTGTCTGTCTTTGTATATTTGCATATAGTGTATATATAGATAAAAAAATATCCCCACGCATTTATATATATATATATATATATATATACAAATATACACACACAGGCAGGTGGGCATTGCAGCCTGCACTGCATGAGCAGCCACTACACAGACAGAAACCTGTAGGATATGTATACAAAATATAAATTGGTGTTTACTGATGTATATACTTTTGTAGGTTAAATCATTATTATTGTTAGTACATCTGGCAGGAATACTGACAGTTTCACCATGGATGTATATATCTAATAGTAAATAACTGCACAGCTTACAGGCAGTGAAAGCCATGGAATTCCACGGTCGGAATGCCCATTCAGCCTGCTTTCCTTGGGGTTATTCACTGCACCCAGCACTAGATTAACACGGGATTACTAGATTAGCATTATAATCACACAGCCTTCATAATCCCCCCCTCTCTGTCTCGTACATCAAGGTGAATCTCATACAGGATAAATGAAAAGCCTTATTTATGTTGTTTTTCTTGCACGTTATAATGGTGGGAGGTGGACATCTCGTAGTAACCATAGTGAAAGGGATGATGGACCCACGCAGGACAGAGCACCTTACCCCACAGGCAGTATACGCTGCTCTACTGATGACTCCCTGCTGTATTGGGCAGTGTGGTTGTCACTCCGTGGGAGCAGAATCTTGCTGGGAGCAGTGGGGAATGTGACTCTGATATCTCGTGTGGATGTCGCACCCCACGATGATCCCCCACGCAAGCAGTGCTGTCGATGGCTTCAGCAGCCTCTCCAGAGCTGCACAATGTGTGCCAGGCGGCTTGTCTTCTTGCTCCTCGTGCTTTGAAGAAGTTGGAACTTATTGTTGTGTATTTCAATAGATATTTATATATTTTCCTCCTCCTTTTTCCCCTCAGAGCAGATAAGCAATTGGATATTCCATCTTCATACTCTGCGAATGCAGCTAATCACTGGCTGGCAACCCACTTCCATTTGCTAAGGTATGCTAAGTATCTCTTCTTCTCTCCCTCTCCCTCTCTATTTCTATCGCTGTCGTTGGCTTGTTGCATTTCCTGAAACTCCTCTAAGAGAGCTGATGTCAGACGCCTTCAAGCTCCTCCTTTCTCCTCACTTCTACCAGAGGACAATATTCTTGCCTTTGACATAATGTATGTTTAATTACACATATTTTAGAAGCTTGATGCTGTTGAAATCCATTTGGCTATTTGTTTTTTATTAAATGCAGGTCCCAAATCATCACATAGTATTTGCTAAACAAGCAGTAGCCACCATTCTCTCAATGTATGAATATGAGCTAAAATAACAACCCCCCCCCCCCCCCCACAAATATCAACCTGCACTGAGAGAATAACAATAGCTTGTTGAACGCTGTAAACATCACAGCTGCGAAAAGGGAGAGAGATCTGACATTAGCCACTGATTTGCTGCTTGAACGCGGGATGGCGAGCAGATCAGACACAGAACACTGCTTTGACAGCTCGCTTTTCCTATAAAGTCTGTCCAGCAACAGCAGGGAAATAGCTCTGGAATTTACGGTGTTAAAATATGGACTTCATTATTTGGCAGCTCGTATTTAAAATAAAGTGATACCATCTGTGTACATTAATGAAGTCAGCTGGAATGAACTATAAGGCATTGGAAGCCACAAAGTATTGTTAGGGGAATCCTTTTCTACAATAGATACAGTGAACGGAGTGTAGTGGGTAGGAAATAACACTCCAGGTAATTTTGAAGGAGGGAGTGAGGTGACAGATCCCTCAGATAAGATGATCTGTGTTGTATTAGGTGTTAGATTAAACACTCATTGTAAACTCTTGCACCATAATCCCGGTCCTGCTCCCCCAATAGCCAATCTCACTTTAATATAGACTTTAGTCACCACTCCAAACCATTTCCATCCCAAAACAGTCATCACCAAAGCCACTACAGAGACCATCCACATGTGTTATACAACTATCTCAGCCTCTCCTCTGTTATAAAGCTCACACTCCTTCTCCAATAACCATATCTACAACTGACTACAGTTTCCCCATCACCCTTCCCTCTTATTAAAGGTTACCCATGCTCTCTTAACAGGTTGCCCTGTTACATAGTCATCAAATGCATGTGAGCTGAGCTGAGCAACACGGTGAGCTGATTTCAACGTGTTTATTGCAGAGCTTAATTTCCTGTGTCCTCGGGCTCTCAGCACACTTCCCTCTTTTTAGTAACAATATTTTTTTTATTTTTTTCACACAAACAAAACATATAAACAGAAAAAGAAGTAAATAAGGTAAACGTAGACTACTCTAGTCCACTGTGGGAGTATTCTGCCCATTCTTCAAGTCACTGTTTTAATCTCGGTAGCGAGTTGGAAGCTTCAGAACGCTACCACTCAAATTCATTTTGCAAGTCCTTATGAGTGGCTGTGTGTCACGGTGCCCGCCGGGATCCACTCCTGTCAGAGAGTGGTCTGGGACCTGGCGGGCACATCTCATGCAATGGCATTCCCACGTGGCCGATTACTTACATCCTTCTGCGGCGCCCGCTGATCTCACTCCGAACACAGTTTCGGAGCGGACAGGCACCCTCCCCTCACACAGCGGCCGGGTCTAAAAACATTAGAGACGCCGGTCGCAGCAAATCAGAACCTTTAAAGGTTCTTAGTTAACCCCATGGTCCCTAACCATTGGAAACGCGCGTGGGACGTCACACACGTACGTTCCACTGTCACTTGCTCCTTTAAACCTTTTTTTGTCCATTTATCAGTGCCCTGTTGTGGTTTCCATTGTGCTTATCCAAGGAAATCATACTCTCAACTGAAGGATCTAAACTCATGTAAACAAGCGGCATCCCATTGTCGCTCACCACCTGCAATGTTATACCCACCTGGCAAACATACTTTTAAGTTGGGGGATGACATCTGCCAGAGGCTCGCTTGCAGCGGGGTAGATATCAGAGGCCAACGTTCCCGGCAAAAGGCACATCTTAATACGTATTCTGCAATGTCAGTGCTGATTCTAGACCACCACACCACCGTGGCTGTTCTTTCTCTACAAATGGCCATCAAGAATTTGACTTTACATTTCTTGCCTCATATTGGCAGGTATGACAATACGGTCTTGAAAGAGCACCAAACCATCCAGTTCTGTGAGATATGCTCTCTCTTAATGGAAGGTGCCGTCCACGCTACTTGGCTCTCAGGCCATCCATTCTTTATGAAGCTAATAACTAATTGGAGATCAGTGTCAGACCCATCTCTCTTTTAATCTGTACCAATTTCTTAGAAGAGATGAACTTAGATGCCAATATTGAATCCACTCCAGAACTAAGCAACATCCTTCAACAATTCTGTAATAGGATACAACACTGAGGACAATTCTGGTAAAAAGATGGCAGGTTGCAAATATAATATAGCTATTATCGGTTTCATCTAAGTCAGCATCATGGCTAACCTGAATAAAAGTCAAACAGAGCCATGCTGGCCTGAAACACTCTAAGGCAGCGATTTCAAACACTGACCACCTCCTATAGCTCCGAGAAATCTTTGAATGCAATAGATGGCCAGAGAATCGTTGGAGTTGTAGGCCATCAACATGTTCGCCTGCTTTTTAAGGGACTGATGAATAATATAATATAATAGCATTATATAATGATAGTATCTGACCCTTTTGCAAAACCAAGAATACCCATAAAACAATGATATGTAAGTTTTACTACATCAACATTACCAGTTTCACCACCTACACCTGCATCTTCTCCAACTACACCAGATGTTTCTACACCACCTGAATCAACACCAGGCTCACTTGTTTTAATACAAAATGTAATCACTGCATGGTTCACTTTTTAAAATATACTTAATAATGCACATATGAAAGTAGGCCACTTCCCTTCAGCGGGTCCTTTTCAAACCAACATACACAATAAACAAATAGTAGGGGTACAGCAGATCTGTAATTGACGAGAGAACAAACTCTGCATTATACCACTGTTAGTAATATGGAGTACAAAAGATTAACTGACAGACATTCAAATTAAGGGGTGCTTAAGTAGACAACCACATCCAATTAGGTTTTTGGTATACCCCTTACAAAGTAATCGCATAAGCAGTGACACCCATTACAAATATGGAATCAAACAAATAATAATATAGAATGCCTATGACAGTTGAAAACATTTTTATATAATGTGTATCACTTCCAAAAAACAAATCAATGGACAAAGCTTTCTTATTAATTTCTTTCACATGGCTTAATTGTAACATTGAAGTTTTGAGGTAAAACGAGATCTAGATGGAGATTATCTTGCCATGGTAACAGAACACAATCAGAAAAAAACGTCCTTGTCTTTGAGTTTAGGGTAAGCACTCCATGTCACTGTGCTTGTGTCTAATGAGATGGAAAAATGCAAACTCACGTGTGCAATGTGGTTCCATTACTAAAGGTGAACAACCCTACTGACCTCCAGAACATTTAGCTCATCATTAACAATCAGGGATAAAATGGCTGGAAAATTCTCAATTGGGGATTGGTCAATGGATTGCACAGACCCAGTTTAGGGGTGGGATTTATACAGAGAACTAGCTAGAGTTTAAAGTTTAAACTGTTTCTTAGGGAGACACTATCCCTTTAATCTCATTGAATTAGCTATAGTACCTTGAGTCTCTTGGCGCTGTACCTCCATTCAGTTTTAAACCATTTTCAAGAAGTTTAACACTGAATGAGGGTGTCTGGCTTCCCACAGTGGTCATCTGACACTTTCAGTCAATCACAGACTCCCATTGCTGCTCAGGCTTGTCCTAACTTATTAGCCCAAGCAGCACAGAGGGGATGGGTTGCTGGGGACCACGCACGTTTGGGAACTGGTTGCAGGGGTATTCTATATTTGCAAGTATCTTGTCCTGCCGTTTTCCCGAGCGAGCCACATCGTTGTTTGGGTACCTGGACTTAATCTGGGGCACATACAAAGTATATGGGGGGCAGAGTTGGTTTAGGTACGACCAGCAATTCCACCAGAAGATGGCGGTGTGTCCTGGTCTGGATTTTATGACTCAGGACGGCAGCCTCTGGCTACTGTTGATGATTACTAATCGCCCATCCCCCTTTCCAGGGTCAGCCAGGGCTCACTTTTGTGTATATGTGTTTGTGTATATGTGCCCTGGCTGGACAAAAAAAAAGTGTCTGTTGGCTCTTCAACGAGAGCGAATGTTCCCATTGCAGGGTTTTAAGAAGGCAAAACAGCCGATGCTCGCAAAAAGTACACATGACAACGTTTTTAGGGGCGAGGACGCCGGTGAGCGTGGAAAAGATGGCGCATTAGCTCACGCGCTATCCTAAGAGGTGGGAAGCACGTATTTTGGTAGAGGATTTTTCGGATGGGTTTTGAATCCCTTACGTGTTCTCGGTAGAGAGGAGTGTTTTTTGGACAACTTATGTTATATTTGGGGTCAAGAATGGGTTTCAGTGGGAAAGCCGGCAAAGGAGACGGCCATGGGACACATGGCTAGCCCCTTTGACATTCCGCCGTTTCCTAATTTACGGGTTTCGCCACTGGTTTTAGTTCCGAAAAAAGAATCGGGTGCCTTTCGGTTGAATTATCACTTGTCCTACCCAACTGGGAGTTCAGTGAATGATGATATCGAAGGAGTTTAGCAGGGTGCGTTATGCATTGTTTGACAGAGCATTGGAATTGTTTCACATGGCGGGGGTAGGTTTGTTGTTGGCGTAGTCAGACATTGAATCGGCTTGTTGACGGTTCACCCGGAATGTTTCACCTTCTGGGTTGTCAGTTTCAGGAGTCGTTTTACTACAAGATGTGTTTGCCCATGGGCTGTTCTATTCAATGCTCATATTTCAAGATGTGTGTGTAATTTTTGGAGTGGGTTGTGGTAAGTTCGTCGGGTTTTCCCGCAGTTATGCACTATTTTGATGATTTTCTCTTTGTGGGTCCTCGGGATATTGATGTGTGTGCCCAACTTTTGTCTTGTTTTCCGATCGTTGCAGCAGAATTTGGGGTTCCGGTGGTGGAGCAGAAGACCGAGGGAACTGCGACGCGCC